GAGGAAAAAACATTATACATGATGACAATGACTGAGAGAACCTCACTCCTCTCTTTGGACACAGTTTTTATTAAAAGATGCATGAAGAAAGCTACCAGGATTGTGAAAGGCATCTAGAAGACAGTTCATAAAATCAAGAACAATGTGCAACAGCTTTTCAGACAATATTACAAAATCTGCAGTCATTGGATTAGGGTTTGTATGTAAGACAATGTAAAGGAAATTATTGCGTTTTTTCAAAAACTATCCTGAATATTTAAGACTTGACCTATAAGACTTGACCTATACAGAAGTTCCATTTTATACTGACACAATGTATTGCTATATTTTGTTTTATTGACAAATACATCCCTCGCTCATCAACATATGCTGACTTTTTGTATTACTAAAACAATATTACCTTTTTCTTACAAACAAGCCAAGCTGATTGGTAACTAAATTATCCCTAGGTGTGAGTGAGAGTGAGAATGGTTGTTTGTCTTGTAGGGGCAGGGTAGCCGGCTCGGGACCCAAGGTCGTGGGTTCGATCCCCGGTCATTGCACATCTCGTGGTGTCTCTGAGCAGAACACCTAATCCCGAATTGCTCCCCGGGTGCTTACATAGCTGCCCACTGCTCCACCTGGGTGTATCCCAGATGCGATGAGTTAAATGCAGAGAGCCAATTTTGTCTTTGTATGGAAACATACAATGATGACAACACATAGCACTTTATTATTATGTATCCCTGTGATGGACTTGCGACTTGTCCAGGGTGTCCCCCGCCTCTCACACAGTGACTGCTGGATATGGGTACTCCGCGACATGAAAAAGTAAGAAGTAGATAAAGATAATGGATGGCTGCATATATGTATTATTATTTAGTTGTTATGTAGTTGACACTTGGAAAATGTTCACATACTTTGAAAGATGAAACTTGTCTCTATTGATATTGGCTAACCACATTTTCAACAGGTCAGGTTTGTGTCATGGAAATCTAATATTTGTCAAATATATATTACAGTATTTTACACTGTAGATGTTACCCAAATCGAGGGAATACCATATTGTACTATTTAATGTTTTTTCCTGTAAATGTGATATTTATAATATAAGAAATATGTGATAATAATATATTAATTATTTCTTCTTCTTCTTTTGGCTGCTCCCTTCTTTAGGGGTCGCCACAGTGAATTAAGTCACATGAAGACTTAACAATTGTTTTTATGCCGAACGCCCTTCTTGACGCAACCACATACCACCGAGCTACCACAGCCCTGTGTGTGGAGCAGAGAGCTGCTATCCAGGGCACCCAGGGAGCAGATGGTGGGGGTTAAGGGCCTTACTTAAGGGCCCAGAGTGTGATAAATGAGGATGGGGACAGGTGTGGGTGCTTCACCTATCCCACCCACATTTTTGATGTTGTCGGTGCTGGGTGTTGAACAGATAACCTTCCAATCACATACCTTCTCTAACCTCTGCTCCACCACTCCCAATAATATTATATTAATATTGTCATTAATATTTTTACATAATCAGCCTTAACTATTTTGCCAATAGCCACAACAATACTGCGGCTCCTGTTCCTACAGAGAATCACGTCACGTGACCTTAGTTGTCTTATTTATGGTTTGAATATAAATACAGCTCATTTTGGGCATCTGCTGACACCAACACTAGGCTTGGCAGATCACAAAGTGATAGCTGGAAATGGGTTTCCTGTGTGTCTGGACCAGAATACCAAACCATCCAGCTGTAAATGATTAAACAAGGCTGAGCGCTTCGTAAGTATATTTTCTAAGGCTTTGCCTCTACAAACAATAATTTTGCTAAAGTAAATAGGCCAGGTATAACTAAAAGTCACAACATCATATAAATGTGAGTTTGTTGATCTCATCTAAAGCGTTTTTTGAGCCCCAGAATCCATCTTCAGACAAATATTGGGTTGTGTGTTGGAATTAAAAGTGGTGGACTTGTAAATAACCAAAAAAATGCAAACTAGAAGAGTATTCTTAATCCGTTAAAAAAATGAACAGAAGCAAAACTTGCATAAATGTACATGTCACTGTGTGACATCATACACCATCACCCATTGTGCCAGCTTTGTTTGGGTGTGTATACTCTGTATGCAAACACCAAATCAGTGCTTCATCCGTGCACTACATGCCCTCTTCAGTATGCACTTTTAAACTAAACATTGTGCCCTGCAGAAGGTCTGACGTGTTTCAGTCAAAACTCCTCCATCCCCGCATTAACTAAACTCATTGCTGACTATGGATTTACATACAGACATGTGAGTGGCCCAGGAGGAGCACTGATTTGTATAAAGGATTTTTATTGGTTGACTGCAGTGTAAAAGCATTGACCTGTGATTTAAGAAGTTGAATCTCAGTTGGTTTGATGGTTTTCAGCTCCTAATTAGGTTTCAAATCAAGCAGAGATGTGAGTTTCCCCCTAAACCGTCAGTGACTTTTAAAATCTTTACATGAAAAACGTATATTAGTTTTTGTTATTTTGTTCATACTTACCAAATATCATTAAGTGATATTGGCTGTTCATAAAGTGTTTGCTTCATTTATCACTCAGAAAACACTTGATGCTTATGTTAAATCATTTACAGAGTATGATTTCTTTAAATTACAGTCTCCTTAGATTCACATTATATTAAACTAAAACACATCTTTGAAAAACATAATGATCATTTATTGTGCTCTGTTTATTTTATTTTATTTTTCCATTTTAGTAGGAAATGTCATTTTTCAGATGATCCATCCAGAGCTCTGTTGTGTCAAACTGTTATCTCTAGATTTTTGTTCAGCTTTAACTAAAGAAACTGGACCAGACTGGGTTTTTGTGACAAGATACAAGCAATAAAGTGCTTAAAGTTCATATTTAAAATGGATTATTTACTATGTTGTCTTAGCAAAAGGACACTGCTGCATCCCTTAAACTTTGTACCATTTTATACTTGCATGATTTGATAGCTGGAGTTAAGTGGTTTAAAATAAAACAAGTATATACTGAAAATGATCATGTGCTGTTTTAAACTGAGAGGTGGAAGTGGCCCTCATGCTCGATAAGCTGGAATGTCTTTAAAAGCAAGATATATAATAATATATTTAAATTTGTTGCATGTATGAGCTGGTTTAGAATCTATAATTTGTTCTTTATAAAAGACAATCTGGGTGTGGTTGGGGATTGCTTTGCTAAAAAAAAAACATATTCTCTGAAAAAGACACATGAATGTGTGACATAAGTCGACTTCAAACCTTTGTTATCCCTCGCCACTGAAGGTGCTGGCTGGTGTGCACTTGTTTGTTTGTAGTGTTAGCAAAATATTTCATAAACCAGCAGATCGATTTTGTCGAAACTTACAGAAAATAATCATTGGAATGTGTCTGCAACTGATTACCTTTAGGAGTAAACCCTATTTAAAATGAACAGCACACATAATTGATCATGGCCAACCCAAATATGACTCAGACTTCACTAATTTGACAGATATTAAACTAAAGTTTACTGTGGTAGTAGCTGAAAGTCATACTTGTTAGTGCAACACACAATACAACAGATTAGGCAGGATCTTGCATGCAGGTAACGTATTTTCCGGCGTGTAAGTCGCTCTGGAGTGTAGGTCACATTTATTATGCGTCACTGCTGACCCGTTGTGTTTATTATGCATTTATTTAATGGTCAAAATGGCTTTATTTTGCGTGGGCGGTGAGGTGCCATCCATCCATCCATCGCATCCATCCATCCATCGTTCCTCCACCTGCACCAGCTGAGTGAAGCGAGCGTGCACGGGAGAACTCGCTGTTGCAGTTCTTAGAAATTTTAAGAGTCAGTCAAAAATTGTGTTATGAATATATGGGGAAAAAACTTATATAAGTCGCATTAGCATAAAAGTCACAGGACTGACAAATCTATACAAAAAACTGTGACTTATACGTCAGACAATACAATAAATTAATGACAAACAAAAGTTGACCAAAGCAGCTATTAAAGCAGCTATAACCTCTTCCATTCTCACGATAAGATGGTTTTAGTTTGAAACATTGGCATCAAAGGCAGAGGGCAATATGCGTTCCTTAAATATGATCTGAAACAGCTTCATATCTTAATAAATTCTGCTTTAAACCTGAGCCACCTTTTAGTTTCACAGCCGTAAAAATCAGTGTAAGCGAGCACTTCAAACTAACCAATTAAAGCACCCCCTCCTCACCACTGCTGGTCCCACAAGACAAGATGCTTTTGTATTTTTTGCCCTTTGATGAATAAAATTAAGCTCATTCTCTTCTCCACATCCCTACTCCCATCCCACACACCTCTTTCTCTCTCTCGCTCTCTCTCTCTCGCTTCCTCTCTCTCCCGCTTGCACCCTATAAAGCCTCAACAGCTGATCCCGAGCATCACAGAGAGCTGCAGCTCCAGAGGAGAGAGGGAGACGGAGGAAAGTCAAACACAGACTCTGACACCGGAGTCTTCTGATGCTCTCGGGCTTCCAGACTGAAAACAATTTCTAAGCAATATATTTTTTTTAAAAGACTTGATTTGTGATGTTAAAGAGACTGGACATCCTGCGTGTGGGACTTTAACCAACTTGCTTTGGAGGCAGATGTTTTCTTTTTGCATTATAATATCTCTTGGCATCGCCTGCCTTTGGATTTTAAGTGTGTTTCAAGTCAAACTTAAACACCAAACTGCTTCTTTTTTGCTTTTTTGTGTGGAGATGCGTTTTCTTTTATGAAGGCAGCTGAGTGGAGCTGTCCGGTGCTGAAACCAGGAGCCGCAACTGGAGCTGTCGGGATCAACCCGACAAACCAGCCACCAGGGACACTGTTTAAAGGACTTTTTTAATTTCTCATCTTTTAGAGCTCCACAGGTCCAGCTAAATTTAGTTAAACTGACTTTTCTTCATCAGAATCTAAACATTCACACAAAAAAACAAGCAGGAAAAGAGGAAGAATCACAAAAGGAGGGCTTGCTTTTTGATCCTTAGAAACCATGTATCCTCTTTTAGTCAAATAAAAAGAAACTGTAAGCTAAAATTCATCTGACTCTTATCACTAGGTCTTTCTTAAAAGGGTTAGAAAAGGAAAAAGCAGTGCAGCTGTCCCACCATGCCTCGATCTTTCTTAGTGAAGAAAGTCAAACTGGACGATTTCTCAGCTGCTGAGCTGGAGAGTTCCTACAGCCGAAGAGAAGAGCTCAGTCTGCGCTTCCATCATCATGACAAAGGTTAGTCAACACACACACACACGCACGCATGCATGCACGCACACACACACACACCACCTGGAGTACTCTTTTTTTATTTTTATTGTTTCCTTTTATTCCCCCAGATTTAGAACAGTACTCATGTCTGTTTGAGACAGAGGCTGAAAATGGGATTTACAGGGTCGAACTCAGGTCTCAGAGCACAGATAGCTGAAAGTGATGACCTTTTTAACTCTAAATGTGGACTTTCTATGAAGAAAGGTGTATCACTGAATGCAAGGGGATGCAGCCATTCCCTTAAAGATATTTCTACTGGGTGAACGGCACAATTTATAAGAGCAAATATAAAATGCAACTATCCTACTTCCATGGAGATTATAACGAACATTTCCTTGGAATGCATTTTTGGAGTCGCATGCAAAC